TGTGTGAGTTGCAGAGCAGAATTTAAATTGTCAATCGCAAATATTGTCCAGAATACGCAACTTTGGGCTTCTTTTTTTTTTGTTAAGTTGCGTTAAATAAATCCCATGCCACGGGTTGAGTTTTTTGGACTTATTTGAAAAGAAAAAAAAGAAGCAATTTTGTTTCTTTACATTTACGGTTTCCATTTACTCCAGTGCATTGACTGGCACTCTGCTCAAAGCTAACAGCCAAATCAGTGCAATAATATTGAGTACCGAAGATGTCAATTCTGCAATGCTCGTCGCCATTTTTGTGTCCGATGTGACAATGAACACAGCACATCTAAATGAGATTTAATGAATAATAATACAGTGCACAGCATAAATGAGTACACCCCTTCTGAATAAATATAAAAGATGTATTTTATGAATGATCACTAATATAATTCATATAATTAATGGAAAGATGGCAAAATTGAAACATATTAAACATATACTTAATAAAAACAACAAAATATATGCCAATATTTTCTGTAAGATAAATAAATTAGCCAACTTTGTTTAAATGAAGGATTGCAGAAATGAGTACACCCTAGATTTCATTCAAAGAATGTGTAATATTCTAGTACTTATTATGTCCTCCAGAACTTAAAGTATACTGCTCTGACACTTCTTGGCACTGAGTGTACAAGCTCATGACACATTTTCACATCTGTGCTCAGTGTGCTGTTTAACTCCTGGAGGACGACCTCCTTAAATGCTCTGATCTTTAATGGGGAGCTTTGCTCAGCTCGTCTCTACAGAATCCCCCACAGCTGCTCAAGAGCATTAAGATTGAGTGAAATACATGTTCACTGAAGGATTTTAACCTTGGGAGAATGAATATATTCATTGTCATGCTGAAAAAATGAATTCATACCAGCATTGATAAAGCACAACTCCCTCACACCTTCAGCACTCATACAGCCCTATATAAAAGCTTTACTACCACTGAACGTCACTGTGGGTACCAAGCACTTCTCTCTGTACTCCTTCTCTAGCAACACCAGAACATGTTGGATGCTTTTGGATCCGAAATGATTGACTTGCTCTCGAGACCAGAGTATGGATTCCCAGAAGTCTCTATTTTGTAAATATGGGCTCTGGAAGAGGTTAAATGAGTTTATTTTGCTTTGGCTACAGTAGGTAATTCTAGTGGTGACAACAACCATGCATGTCACTTCTGCAGGCTGTGTCATACTCTGTGAGATAAAGTGTCACTCTTTTCACAGCTTTTGCCGGCTCTGAGACACTTGCATGTTATTTCTCCAGCTTCTAAATCTTATTTTGATGAATAATTTTGGCATTCTTCTTTGGTAACTGATCAAGCAGACTTGTTGGAACATCACATCTCCAAAGAACCCTAACATGTCTTCTAAGTAAAGAGTAATTGCTGAATTTGTTAAGTTTTAGAGGGGGTGTACTCATTTATGCTGTGCACTGTATATTAAAATAATAAATTACCTTTTACTACCATTTTCCACACTGAGCCTTGGACTTGATTGTATTTTTAAGACCTTAACATGGGTACAGCAAGTGTAACTCTTAGCCCATTATAATGTAAGGTCCTGATTACTTCTACATTTAAAACTGACATCAGCTCGAAGCACTCTTGAGTCAATGATAGTGTAACAAGAAGAGCGCGCATGAACGTAATCGGCGCAATGAGCGTTGCTTACGCTTAGGGTAAAGCGTGCGTATGCTTTGGGATACTCTCCAAAATGGCGGAAGACAGAAACTCGGGGGGAGAAGAATTGTTGAATAAAGTCATTATTTTTGTTTTCTTTGCGCACAAAAAGTATACTTGTAGCTTCGCAAAACTGAAGTTGAGCCACTGATGTCACATGGACTGTTTTACCGATGTCCTTGCTACGTTTCTGGACCTGGGAACATTACAGTTACGTTGCTGTCTACGGAGGGTCAGACAGCTCTCAGATTCCATCAAAAATATCTTAATTTGTGTTCTGAAGATGAACAAAGGTCTTACGGGTTTGGAATGACATGAGGGTGAGTAATTAATAACAGAATTTTCATTTTGGAGTGAACTAACCCTTTAATAATGCTTTGTCTGGAAATGACTTTTATTTGGATTACGTTGTCAAAACGCACAAAACATGCAAGGGTGAGGGGGAGTTGATACTGTTTCCTATGCAATGACGTTAGCCAATCATAACAGTGGCAGATTCCTGAGAAGCCTTAAAGGGTTAGTTCACCCAAAAATTTGTCCATAAATTACTCACCCTCAAGTCATCATAGGTGTATATGACTTTCTTCTTTCAGACGAATCCAGTCGGAGTTATTTTAAAAGTTGTCTTTGATCTTTCACGCTGTTTAATGGCACTCAGCGGGTGTTGCATGCATCAGCCCGAAAGAAGTTAAATAAAAAAGGACCCATCCATAAAAAAAAACAAGTGTCTCACACGGCTCCGAGGGGTGAACAAAGGCCTTCTGTAGTGAATCGATGCGGTTTTGTAAGAAAAATATCCATATTCAAAACGTAATAATCACTTGAATCTAGTTTGCGTTCACGTGAATCGATGCATTTTTGTAAGAAAAATATCTATATTCAAAACGTAACAATCACTTTAATGTAGCTTGCGCTCACTGTTGTAAACGGAAGCAGATTCGGGGGGATGACGTATGAGGTCAGCGTTGCGCATGCGCCAGTGAGACTCGTGAAAACCAACGTTTGTTTACAGGATCAAAGAAAGCAAAGTTTCCTTACTTTAGCAAAGGAAAACCAGTCTCCTCTTGGCTTATATCGAAATCCTCCGATATTCTTCTTTACAAATCCTCGTTTTGTACTTCTAATTAGTGACCGTTGTTTTGTCTTGATCTTTCCCCTGCGCTTCAGCGTTCGTCACTTCTGAGCGGCGCATGCGCAAAGCCGACCTCCATACGTCATTCCCCGGAACTGCTTCCAGTGTACAACAGTGAGCACAAGCTACATTAAAGTGATTATTACGTTTTGAATATGGATATTTTTCTTACAAAAACGCATCGATTCGCTACAGGAGGCCTTTGTTCACCCCCCGGAGCCGTGTGAGACTATTTTTTTTTTATGGATGGGTGCTTTTTATTTAACTTCTTTTGGACTGATGCATGCAACATCCGCTGAGTGCCATGAAACAGCTTGAAAGATCAAAGACAATTTTTAATATAACTCCGACTGGATTCGTCTGAAAGAAGAAAGTCATATACAGTACATCTAGCATGACTTGAGGGTGAGTAATTTATGGGCTAATTTAAATTTTTGGGTGAGTAATTTATGGGCTAATTTAAATTTTTGGGTGAACTAACCTTTTAAAGGACACACCCCTTAAAAATAGCCTGTTTCTGAGAGAGGTTCAGAATGAGGGTTGAAAAAAATCATTATCCCACATATTTATTTGTTGGTTTGTTTTTTGTTGTTGTTTTGTGCAGAAACACTTTATTAACATTATAAGTAAACCTCAACGAACCTTTTAAAATAATAAAATTAAATTCTTTAATTTAAATTCTTCATTTTTTAAATTCGCTCTGCCTTTAAATGCTTTTTGCTCTGTGCTTTTTTTGTTTGCACACAGTTTAATGTTTTCAGCTACAAAACACGATGTAGCTTGATGTTTAATCTTCGATTAAAATTTTTTTTACTCAAATAAAATCTGTCTCAAACTTAATTTGAACAAATGAATATTCGTTTATGAGCTCAAATATTTAAATGTAATATTTGTGGAAAATGCCCATCTCTAGTATAGTCTCAGTGAGCTGTTTGAGGCTTTACGCATGCACAGTAAAGCAAATTTAACGTTTTCTGATATTTCAGTGTGCATAAGAAACTTTTGGAAAATGCTTTAAAAGCGCTAGTGTGGATGGAGAGCATTTTAAAATGAAAACACCATTTTCATGTGTATCTGGATTAATGTAGACGTAGCCTTAGTGTCCACTGGCTGTTTTATTTGCTCACCAAATCCCTTTAAATGAACAAATATAGACAGCATGCATTAGCCAAATGTAATCACTCACATTTCAAGGTTCGCTTTATGCAATTATTTTGTTAGATACTTTTGCGTAATTAAGTGCTAGAAATTAATGGTTTTAATTTTAGAAGCAGATTTTTTTTAGGCTAATGCCGTATTATTGTTACAACTTAAATGCATGTCATAATAACAAATGCACAATGTGAAAGCAGGATCTTCTCAGCCGCACTTGAAGGCAGTGTTATTATTTGTCTGGTTATGTGATCTCAACATGTCTGTCAACAAACCGCTTTAATTACTACTCATAAATTCTTCATAAATATCATTGAGTACGTTTACATGGACAACAACACGATTAAGCCAATACTCTGATTAAGAATCTACCATGTAAACAGAAATTTTTGATTACCTTAATCCGGCTAAAGTCATATTCGAGGTAAACAGAAATCGAATTAAGACATGTGGAGTATTCCTATTTTAGTCGCATTATGGAAGTGCAGTGTAGACATGCACACACCTTAATCACATTATTACCGTCTTGTAGGACTTTTCGCTGCATTTTGCGACAGGATACACACATGGCAGTGTTCAACCGTTTTACAGCAAACAAAAGAGCATGGCTTCAACACCACCATCGTCTGTATGCACGTACAAATAATTAACTGCACTTGAAGCTTTCATAAAATTAAAAATGAAACACCCAAAACTGTATATGGCATCATAACGAACACAAACTACATGTTTATACGTGAAATTCTGGAGGCGACGTCGGATGGCGTCGCTTGGTCACGTAATGACGTGCCATTAATCGATCATTGTACTATAAGATGTAAAACAGGAACATGAAAGGAATATTCTAAAAGCAACTCATGTAACCACCATAATTGTAATATTGGCTTATTTAGAATAAGGTTAATAATTAGATTACTGATGTCCATGTAAACGTAGTCAATCATTTCTGTACAGCTGAACATTTTAATAAGGATCAGATGAGTGAGTTCAGCTTTGAGAATGAAAACCAACCTGTTTGTTCCTCAGTATCTTCATGTTTGACTCTGAATGTTTCTTCAGTCTTCATTCTCTTCTTTAATAAACACCATCTCTGTTTGTGTCTCAACTCTGAATGCTTCTTCACTCTTCATGTCTTCACTCTCCTCTTTATTAAACTCCATCGTTGTTTGTTCCTCATTATCTTCATGTTTGACTCTGAATGTTTCTTCAATCTTCATGTCTTCACTCTCCTCTTTAATAAACGCCATCCCTGCTGAAAAAAAACAATAGAACCATCACAGAAAATTCTAATGGTTTCCACTACAAATACCATTAAAACCATCGACTTTTAACCATTAAAACCATTAAAAATGGTTTTCTGTAGTGTGTTTTGGGACATATTCCATTATGATTTATTGGTTTTAACAATTAAGCCACCAATAGAAAGTGACCAATTTCCAGTAGAGCCCCACAGGGTCCATTACAGGTTCCATTAAAACCAATACAAGTCCCACTATAACCAGTAAAACCATTAAAGGGGTCATATGATGCTTTGTAACAGTATAACTGTGTAACAGAATATGTTGACATGCTTTAATGTTCAAAAAACACATATGTTGTGATGGTGTCTATTGTTTTTTTTTTCAGTGTATCTCGGCTGCTTCAGCAGGAGTTTTCCTGTGTTCAGACACTTTGTCATGTTTAAGAAGAAAATAATTAACAGAAAGTAATTTGCTCTCAAAAATAAATGCAAACTAAATCTCTGGATGCGTCTCAATCAGTTCCCTAGTTCAGTAGTCAGCGCACTGGGAAGGGAGTGATAGTTAATGGGACTTAACTTACCCTGATAAACATATAAATTATAGGTAATAGTAGGTATTTATGATTTATATTTGGTATTCTATTATTTGTACATCATAATATATAGATTACACTTTCATGAAAACATTTGCAGGTGGTTTGTAAAAGTTATCATTGAACATGTTTTGTGTTTTGTTGTTCTCTTTTATCGTCAGCGCGTGCTAATTCGAATCACTGAATCATTTTACGAATGATTCGGTTCAGTTGATTCGAATTCTCAGTTTCTCTCATCACTTCTTTCTCGAACTTGAACGATGTACTTATTCACGATACAAGGGAGCGAAATGAGACGCACCTTTTCTGTTATTAATGAGGATGCGCTTTACTCACAGAAATAACGCTAAGTAAACTATTACAACGTTATACTTAAGATTGATTAATTTATTATACGTAGCTTGTAAAAACGTGGAAATTGATAGAACAGTTTGCATTGATTTAAAAAACGTAGAAAACACAAACCTTTCTTCAGCCGAATCTCAACAGATGCAGGAGCCCGGCGCAGCTTTATGACGTCACATCGCCAGAGCAAAATAAAAGTCCCGTTTACACACTGATGTCTATTGTATGCGTTTGATAATGCATTTCTACAATTATTAGCATCGTAAATCTAGAAACTTTTATATTTTAATTTTTACAAAAATTATTGTACATTTACAGCGCTATATTTTGTGTTTTCTTACCTTGCCATTAAATTACATAAAACTAGTTAACACTGAAGCATAAGTGTTTCTATACAAAGGCTGAGGCTTTCACTCTTTTGACTAATCAATCTCTTGTTATTTATTTACTTTTTTCCCTCTTTTAGAAAGTAATTGAAACACTATCATGGATTTTTTATTTTTCCTTTTGCTATTGGGGCAAATGAGACCACATGAAAAAAATACTATAGTAATTTATAGTAAATACTATAGTGTTTTTGAACAACACTATAGTAAAGTGTATTATACTGTATATATTATAGTATTTACAACACTTTAATGAATGCTACAGCATACTGTAGTATTAACTATAGTGAACTGATAAACTGCAATAAATACTGTAGTATACTTTAGTTTTTACTACAGTAAACTGTAGTGTATTGTAGTATAATATACCCTATAGTTGTAGAAAACTTAGTACAGTATTGGGTGAAGTAATTTGTTTATATTACTATAGCTGTTATATTACCACAGCAACTATAGAATTATCACAATAAATTAATTAAAGTGCTTTACTATAGTATGGTTCAAAAACACTATAGTATTTAGTATAAATTACTATAGTATTTTTTTCATGTGGGAGAACACAAAAATATATTGGTTGCAGTTTCCTTTACATAACTATGATGACTTTCAATTCTGATAACCCCAGAAATGTGAAAAAAGGGTCTATACGCAGACAAAGTCACATAAGAAAAAAAAAATAGGGAGGTGGCCAGAAGAGACCCTCAGATTTCTACCCCACACTCAATAACCACGACACACACACACACACTTGAGAAAACAAAGCAAAGTGTTAAGCACAGCACAGCCCTCCATGTGGACACACCAGTACAGGACACCATGGCCAACCCCTCCCACTTTAAAGGGGTCATATGATGCGATTTCAATTGTTCCTTTCTCTTTGGAGTGTTACAAGGTTTTATGTTACGTTCCGGCCGGACAGGGCATCATCACAATATGGTGAAGGGCGTAACATTTCCGTCACACGCTTGAGGTATTCGGCCAATCACAACGCACTGGATAGCTGGCCAATCAGAGCACATCTCGCTTTTTCAGACCGATGCGCTTTGTAAAAAATCGACGCGTTTCAGAAGGCGGGGCATAGAGGAGAAACAATCATGTACAGTATGTGGAAAATAATGTGTTTTTTTAACCTTAAACAGCATAAACACATTTCATTACACCAAATACACAAAATAATTTTATTTTTAGCAATATCATATGACCCTTTTAAATGCATAGTGCTTGAGCCTGTTATTTCTGCTAACAGCTATATTGTTTGTTTGTTTGTTTATTTTAAATATATAAATGTCTCTTGCTTTATGCCATCATACTGGTGATAACATGTATTTGTCTTTTGGCAGTGAAAGAGTCGAGATCTCAATGAAATGGAAGAGAAAGGTCAGTATGAGAAACATCATGATTCCATAACTGGAGGAAAATCACAGACTGAAAAGTCTTCCTCTCAAAAAAAGAGCTCAGAAAACAGACTACAAGTCAATTCATCTGCCAACCGTGTGGAAAGACTTTTAATAAAAAAGAAAACCTTAAAGTCCACATGAGAATTCACACTGGAGAGAAGCCTTACACCTGCCAACAGTGTGGAAAGAGTTTCATTCATAAAGGATCCCTTAATAACCACAGGAGTCTTCACACTGCAAACTGTGTGGAAAAACTTTGAATCGAAAAGGAAATCTTAAGACTCACATGAGATGAGAGTTCACACTGGAGAGAAGCCATTCACATGTGATCAGTGTGGGCATAGTTTCACTCATAAATAAACACTCAACACTCATAAGAATTCACACCGGAGAGAAGCCTTACACCTGTCCTCATTGTGGAAAGAGCTTCCCACGAAAAGAAAGTCTTAAGAGACACATAAGAGTTCACACTGGAGAGAAGCCTTATACCTGCCTTCACTGTGGAATGAGCTTCACATATAAAGGAACCCTTTACTCCCACTTGAGAATTCACACTGAATAGAGGCCTTTCACACAGGCACGGCGCCAGAATTTTTTCTCTATCGGTGCTAAGGGGGGGCTAGACCAATATGTGGGGGTGCTAAGAAAATAACTTATATTGATGACGT